AAGGCATTATAAATATACCTGTACATTTATTTCTACTTAAAAAGCTTATGAAGAGGAGTTCTAGGACAAACCATCTAGGAAACTCCTTCATTCTTTTGCTAAGGAAAGTACTCAATACCAATGCAAATTCTACTTTCTATGAATTTTAGTTTAATACTAGGGAAAGGTGAAAATTAAGTCATATTACAAAATATCTTAAATCAATACCTTTATTTGCAATATTTTTTTTATTGTTAGTTTTTATATTTGAGAGAAAACGAGCACACAAATTGTTTTACCTAAAAATTAACTTCAAGATGCATCCATTTAAAAATATTAAGACTCGAAATAACTTAAACTGCACAAATACTTTGAAATGTAGACACTGTATTTAAAAAAAAAAAATAGAAAAATATTTCCTGAAACAAATGACGTTCAGAACTGTAAATAAAAGTATTCATTTCACTGATAAGACTTTTTTTTTTCTGGAAAAACATTTAAGTGTAATTCATCAGCTAATGAATGTATTTACTGTGCTGGCTTACCAAATGCACACACATACCAATAACATTAAGAAAGTTTTCCAAGACTGACCATCATGAATAGTATTTTCTGGCTTTAAGAGGCACAAACATTAACTTATTAAGTGCCAGAACAAAAGAACAAATTACATAATATATCATTAAACAGTGTCTTCTAAGCAAAGGAGACAATTTTCCTTGGCCTTGAATCATTTGCAAAGGTAATTTGAATTCATACGTATGTGCTCCAAATTCAATTAATGAGAAACACAAGTTAGTGAAATTTAGAACTTATATTTTGTTTTGACTCATTTTCCATCCAAGTCTTTTCTGCTCCTCTGTCTCTATTTAAGATTTCACATACTTTAAAGACAATTCTGCTGAGGAAAGTGTGTTTCACAAACACATTCCTCACAAGTGCTGAACTGTTAGTGCCAGCCTCCCTACTCCTAAAAATCAGCAACAGACTGCCTTTTTTCAACTTCACTGCATAGAGAGACACAAGAAAGAAAGTGCTGTACACATCATATGTGCTCTCACAACACATGTATCTGGCAGAACAGAAAAGTACCGGGATGAAATTGCTGTCAGCTTTCTGAAAAATGTAACGAATGTCAAAATGTCTCTTTGAATCAATGTCTACAGAAACTGTGCCTCTGGCAAGCTGAGGAGCAGCGACCAGCAACCTTATGTGATAGACAGAGGGGATACCTGCAACATATGAACTGTCTGGAAATAGAGCCAGCTGATGAGGGACTGAACACAATGTGTGCTTCACAGAATCCTCCTGAACAATCCTGGCACACTGGGGCAGTTCCCTGGCATGTGAAAAGAGATCTCCTTCTGTGGTTCTGCTGCCCTTCCGCTTCCAAAAGCCTGCCAGGGTTTATACCTGCCCGTGGGATCTTCAGGCACGAGCAGCACTTACTGGTTTCCTTACAGCTCTCAGGAGCCAGAGCTGCAATTGCTCTTTCAGCCTCTTAGCTGATAAATGATTAAAGAGAAATGCCCTGATTTTGCTAAATCACAACGCTCTTGCTACTTAGTTAGAGACAAGATACTGTTAACTAAGGATATTATGGGCAAGCACAAAGAAACTGCCTATTCAACTATGCCTACATACTGATGGAAAATAATATAGTCTGCAAACGGATGGTGTAGCAATAAAAGCAGATTTGTTTTAACAAATACAACATCAGTGTGCTGTAAAAGCAAAAAGAAATCTAAAAAATAAAAGGAAGATGAAAATTTTCATTTGAAAATATTAATCAAATCAGAAAAAACACTTAATATCAGGTGATAAAAAAAATTATCAAGTAACACTTGCCAGGAACAAATAATTTTAAGTGACAATGTTCCATTTTATATCAATGATATAATTAAATGTCCATTTTTCTACCCAGATTTCCAGCCTGAGGTACTGTCCTGTCATTCAGGCTACAGTTATGGAATAATTCTAGACATAAAAGTGTCTGGTTTTGAGCAACTGTCGTCCTAGACCAGAATGCCAGGAACCTCACCTCATTTATGACACAAATTTTCTCCAAAACATGATACTTCACACACTAAAACTGTTGTGTCAATCTAAAAGCTTGTTTTGTTTCTTTTCTACTTTTTTTTTTTTCCTCTACTGCATATCAACTGTGTTTTATTTAATTTGCAGCAACGGGTTCCAAAGACTGCTGCCACCATCCATAAGCATCTTTCCTGAAGAGAAACTATAGCTCATCTCTGCTGAGTGTATTTTACATACACCAGAGGAATTTCAGCTCTGCAGGAAACTTCATTCACTCCAGGAATTTTAAGCTACATTTGATACACTGACCATATAACCATATAAAATTGTTTGGAATTTCATGCTGATTTTATAGAAAGTACAGTTGTTTTCAATTTTGGATGCCCATCTCTAGGTTGTTTTGGTTTTTTTTCTTTTCCTGGCTTCAATCTGATTTCTTTCCCAGTTACTTAGTGGTATATTCAAATCTTCTCTTAAATCTCTTCAAAACTTCTCTGGGGATGCTTTAGATAAAGCAACAGAAGAACATAGTTTACATTTTAATTTTTAAATCAGGTATACTTGAGACCTTTTTGAAGCTTAGCCTTCTGAATTTTTCCTCATCAACATCTTATTAATTTAAGCATGCCTTTAAAGTAATTTTGGTTATTAGAATATGAAAAGAGTATCTCAATTAAACAATCTATGTATAAGAATTTTCTCTTTCCCATCCTAGCTTGGTGACTTTTTTCTTTTCATGAATAGATATTGAAAGGATTAAACCCCTTTACTTCAAAAGGAAGCATGCAAGAATAGACCTGCTCATTTAAGACAAGGAAAATATTGATGTCTCAACTGTGAATAAAGTAGAAAAATAAGTACCCCAAACCAAAATAAAGTAACTCCAACAAGTTAGTATGAATGTCACAATCTACTTCAGGAAAAAAGAAAACACTAAAAAAATAATGTAAAAATTGTAGCAGTAATAATATTGCTTTGGACAAAACCTTTTGGCATTTCCTTTTTTAAAGTAGTAAGATTTCTCACTACTGTAACTTCAGCCAACATCAGCTTACTCAAGGAAATCTCAATTTCTATTAGCACGAATTCTTTCAAAAAGCAATTTTGAATCTTTCATTTTTTAAAACTCTGTATAAATAGAAAACTCAAACATAGGTTTTTTTAAAAAACTCTCCTTAATTGCCAGCAGAGGCAAAAGAACAAATGGATATAAGCTGTCACTGAAGAAATGCAGATTGCAAATTACTACGAAGTCTCAAGCCATTAAAATAAATCAAACTCTGGAACAGCCTTCGGCAGAAACACTGGGGGCAAAGAAATAACAACTCCAATTTAGTATTGGCAAAGTTTATGAAAAGAGAATTATCTGATGCAATTCCCAGGCTAGCAGAGCAGTGGACTTGATGACCCAGAGATCCCTTCCACTGTTATGTTCTTTGTTGGGCTAAATGCAGATGTTCATCTGTTTTTTAGCCTCACTGTGGTTTTTCTAAAGTGAAATTTAAATGAAAGTTAACATAATTTTTGTAAGTTTCGGTTACAAATTGCCCTTTGTTAGAACTATTGCTAAGCCTGCAGCAGTGTGGAACTTGTCAAAGAATTCTAAAAGCTTTACTTAAAAAAAAGCTGGCTTAGCATTATAGGGGAGTAGAGAAGAATAAATGCTCTGATTTCAATGCCCAGCACTGCATACACCATGAGAAGAAGGAACTGATCTGCTAAAGAAAATAGGAAGAAAACAATATCCATATGTGCTAGGACTGATACATCAGTATTATGAAGGAGAAAAGCAAAACAGAATACAAAAGAAAGAAAAGGACAAGAGGATATAAAAAAGTATAGGGAAGGAGAAATATCACAGATATTTAGTGTCTTTCTTAAAAAATTAACTAACGAAAACCTATTACCATGTGGCTGTGAAAAGTAAATGCCAACTTGAATGGGAAAAAAAGGAAATGTTTTGTTAAAGAGGAAATTCAGGTGATAATCTAACGCATGCCTCTCTCCCACCTCCCTCACTTGTCTCCCCCATGCTAAGCTCTTGTGATTTGCCTCGAGTTGGCTGACTTTGAAAGACCCCGTTTTGGAGAAGGAGTCACAGCGCAGTTGCTACGGCAGAGTTCTGCCAGTGGCTCAATATTGAAAGAAATAGCTCAAACTCAGATGTATAACTCTAAACTATTGCTTAAGATAACATTAATAATATTTAAGCTTGAAAATAACCTGATGTTCCTTAATAACTTACATAATCCCCCTGCCTTCATTTTTTTTTAATTAAGAATATTTTTTATGCTGCAGGTAACTTGAATGTATCACAGGGACTACAGAAACTACTGCTGCTATGTACTGTGAGATGAAAATAAAGCAGCTTATAGAAAACAACACTAAATGTTTTCTGGTTTTGAAGAAATAAGCTTTCAGGCCAGCCTTTAATGATTTTCAAATACACGTATCTTTACAGCTCCAATCAGTCATAAAAGCACACAAAGGTCAAGCAAATACTTTATCTTATTTAAGATACTGTGGTCTGTTTTGTATCACTCTCAAGTTCTAAGGTTTACACTCTTTCAAGGGGATGATACTGCTACACAAGACTTCAAAATAAAGGCTTTACACAAATTCTGTGAACCTTAAAGGCTAACTACGTATTCCAAATGAAACCCTGCTCCTGATAAATTCTAAGCTACACTGATTCTCTAAAAATAGAGAAATTACTTATACTGACATCACAACTTCAGTATATACTTAAAAATTACCATCACACAATTTTAAAGCGGCTCTATGCAGACATGATCACACAGAGGGAATTTTTCAAGTCTAGCCTTTCTTCACATGAATACACATAATTTTTCTTTTTTCCATAAATGATTGCTGCAGATTTTCAACAAACATGGAAATACTACAGAATATTAGTTCAACTAAACCTTCTAAGTTATCTGGAGAACAACCAACCATTTTACAGCCCTTACTGTGTACCTTTGCAGGTATTCTAGAAATCCGAACGGTGGCAGTTGGAATAGTGGCAATCAAAGGAGTGGAAAGTGAATACTTTCTGGCAATGAACAAGTCAGGACGACTCTATGGAAAGGTAAGGATGCAAATTTCTCTTATGTGTACATCCCTACAATCTTAGAGGTATTTTGAGATGTAGCATTTCTACAGTTTTTTATAAAACAGATTCCTAACTAAGTAAAATGCATTTTGGACTTATCCCATGCACCTCATATTAGACTTTTATGTCCATCTAAAATTCAATTATTAGGTCGTATATATGTCTTCAAAATGGAATAGAAAAAGCTACAATATTCAATACTCAGAATTCAGAAGTCAAATTTATTTATTAAAATATTCATAATAAGCAGGGTCTGTAATGCATATTCTTCTTCCAGCTTCCCTAATCCAAATATTTAAAAAGACACTTGTATTTACCTTATTTTATTATTTACTCTCAACAGAAAGTATGCAATGAGGACTGCAACTTCATTGAACTGATTGAAGAAAACCATTATAATACATATGCTTCTGCAAAATGGACACACAAAGGAAAGGAGATGTTTGTTACACTAAACCACAAAGGGGTTCCAATGAAAGGTAAAAAAACAAAGAAAGAACACAGAGCATCCCACTTTCTTCCTCTGGCAATATCCTAATCACAAATGATCTATAAAGAACTAGTTCCAGCAGGAAGATTAATTTTAAGAAGACTGACAAGATACCAAAAGAGGCTGGAATACTACTGAGAAACTGAACAAGCTGGACTTGCGCATTTATGTTTATTTTTAAGAGACTACATGAAAAAGATTTGAAAATATACACAAAACCAGATTTACTAACTAAAAGTTGTAAAAAATTCTAAAGAGTTGTACAATCATTATCTTAGTCATTGTAACTGGGTAGTTTCTTAAATTAATTTACCCTGAAGAAAAAGTCATTACTTGATTATCTGATAATATTTTATTTAAAAAACTATCTGCTTCTTAAATATGGCTGCTATAATAATAATGAGCAGATGATAATGTTGTGTAAAATATGTCAGACTTTAAGGCTGCTGGAATGAGTTGTCAGATTATCAAGTCAATAGAAATGTGGAGGCTGAGCAGTATTTTAAATACTTCCCCCAAGAAACTGATATCCTATACATAAACTATATGATCAAAAAATATAATCTTGTAAATGTTTATTGTTGTATTCAGATAAGAGAGTTAGTTTGGAAAAATTAAGTTTACTCTAACACAAAATGTTCCTATCTATTAATGAAACAAATACCTAATGCTGCTCTAAAAGATGTTTCAAATAGTGTATGTAAAATAAAAATAGGAATAAATAATGTACTTCATCTCACTTTTCACAAATTAACATTTTATATAACAATGGAGCAAAAATTCAGACATATTAAGGTTTTTTATGCAACATATCCTATCTTTTGTATAATTCCTGTTAGGGCATACAGCTTTCAATATTGTTTTTCCATTCTTATACATGCTTTTTCTGTTGTTACAGCATTAAACTTTATTTTAAGTTGTATTTGAACTTTATTGTTTTAAGTTATTTAAATGTTATTTATAAAAAAGATACTTATTAAGCTGCATCTGTTTCATATGCTTTTAATTCTAAAGGAATAACAAAATGGTCTGGCTGAGATGCATGAATTTTTTTCTGTGACCAGACACAAAGCCTAGTACACAACCCTCCTGCCAACATACATTGGATGGCAGACAAAAATGACAGCCTGCAGCAAATCACACAATGGACATCTCAAAAGAAACAATGCAAAAATTTGAAAAATCTATGCCACATACTCTTGGTAATTGAATTACTGGCATGCTCAAAGTTATGCCAGGTAAAAGAAGGTTACAGTTCCAGCAGGCATTGGAAATATTCCTCAGATGAACCTCCACTCACAGATATAGAAATACGTGCAAGCATGCGGGACTAGTTTGAAACTACAGCTCAAGTCACTGTGACCTGATGAAGAAAAGATATCCTAATTTTCTAGCTATGAAAGTGCTCAACTAAGCCCTACCTGACTTATGCATTATATCATTTAACTCAGTTTTCCTACACTTTTTCTTGGGTTTGTGATAATTGCACTTAAAGATCACCAAAAAACTAGCTTAAGCAGCTGACATGACAGGGATAGAGTCAAGTTAATTAAAAATGGTCTTAAATGCTCTGCATTGAATAACAAGTGTCTAGAGTTAACCACTTTTTCCTACATGAAAATTCCTCATTTTAAGAGCACTCTTAGAAAATGGCAAGTTTCCTTTGACAAATATTTATTTTTTTAAAAAATCTTGTTTAACAAATAGTGCCACTTGAAAATCAATTATGATATTAGCAAGTCAAAAATCAAAAAGATATAAACAGATCCATGCAAAAAAAATTGTCAGTACAACTCTATCAGTAAACCTTCACTGTGCTTTCGCTAGTTTATCACTTGTTCACTGAACACAACAGACTGTGCTACAAAAGAAGCTTTTTTGCTGGTACCTCTCTGCACTACTTCTGTGAATATTTAAACAGGGAAACAGAGTTCACACTTATGATCAACATTAACATACTAGAAGTTCTATATCTAAACTAGGTTAGTGGAAGCTTTGAAATAAAAATGAAAATAAAAACTCCATTAGGATTGTTTGTGTTTAAAAGCTTTACAGAAGTTTTAATTAATATGTATGTGTGCATGTTAATATATAAATATATATGTAAAAAATCTTACAACCAAATCTTACAAAGGCTCTTTGAATCAAACTTCTGATTATGTAATTCAAGAATATAAAAATACAGTCAAAAAAATCCTGAATCCAAATTACTGCTAAATGCTTTATATAATGAATCACTATGTTATCACCATTTTCAGGTAAGCCAAGGCTGCTTTATGTTTTACAGCTTTCATAATTGAAATGTGTTCTGTGAGTGAATTGTTCCCAGAAAGACACCTGACTGAAAATGCTGCAATTTGTCAGTACCACACTCATAGTCCTTACAACTGAGCAATTTTCAATGTATCTTTATCTTAGAAAATCTATTCTCAAATACTGACTCGGAAAAAAACAGTTTACTGCTAAAACCAGAGAATAATAATCAGAAAATTTACAGTGATGATCTCCAGTAGCAAACTATTAAAAGACAAGGATAATAAGAATTACATTTTAACAGCAATTCAGAAAGATGACAGAAATCCTCACAAAAGCCTCTTACATCAATTGCATCACAATCCAATGCAATCTTAACATCAACATACAATATACCATGTAGGAGGAAAATATATTTATACATAAAGAAACTGATACACCTTTCTGGAAATGGCTCATTACTAACCTGTATAATACTATAAGTTTAAGAAAACCTAAGCAAAGTGGGTTATAAAAGCCAAGGTCAAGTGTCATTTCCTTGCTCTCCCTTCAGAGGCTTTGGCTCTCCTGGAGCTTTTTTCTTTGTTTCCCACTGAAACTACACAGTCTGTCCAGACTGGGGTTCAGAAGGGAAATACAATTCCTGTGGTCAAAGCAGCCATCTACATCAGCCACTCACATCTCACAGAAACTGCTCCATTATACAGGACCTGTAATTAGCAAGGTTTTCTTTATTTATTTTTGTATTACTGCTGATAAACACTCTGGGACACAAATGAGCAAATCTCATCTGAGGAATCTCAGAGAAGACTGAAGAATCTCCATGCTTAGAGGGTTTTAAGATCTGACTGGACAAAGCCCAGTACAAGCAGTGTGGGCCCTAATTTGAGCAGGAGATTGGACAAGTATGCAGTACTCTTCCTAATTTAATGAGTCTAAGATTTCATAAGAAAGTTACTTTTCTTAAAACAACCTCTCCAAACAACTACACAAAACACATCCTTGTTGGGGGATACTTAAATATACGTCTCGCAACTTGTGAGTTGTTAAAGGTATGCAAAATGGTGTAAATACATTCCATAACACAATAAAAAATGACAATTGGACCATATCCATGACCTTTAAAATATATAACATGGTACAAAACAGTCTTACTTTTAGTTCTGTTGCACGTACTTTAAAACATGGCTCTGCATAGCATCTGTAATACTCACATTACTAAATGGTTGATCAATTAACTACTAAAATACACTTGTCTGTGTTTTAAATTACTTTTTGAAGAAAATATGTATATTCTCTTTTAATAAGCTGAAGCAAGATGTAAGTTGATGTTAAATCAATAAAGTAATGAGAACATCAGTATTTCATTGCACTCAGTGACCAGTATCTAAGTAGTCTAAATATTTCATAAGCCTATGAAATCTATCTCCTCACTACTAAGTTTTCCAAGACCACAATGATTACATAGCACTTAACATACAGAAAAAGGAACTGGTAGGTTACATGAGTTTCCACAAATTAGGAAAAGTCACTGCCAGAGGTGAGATCCATACTTAGAAACATTTTTTTAACTAACATTTAATAACAAATAAAAAAGGAAGTACAATTGTTTATATCACTGGATGAGTTTTAAAAGGTAACAGTTATTTAAATCACACATTTACTTAATACAGTGGAGAAGGGGAATTTAGAAGCTAAATTCTCTATGCTGATAATTTTGAAGATTAGGACAGTACTAAAAGCAGAAACTAGATGGGGAAAATATTCTAAGAGTGGCACAAGGATTTTAACATTTTTAACATACATATAAATATTGCCCCAGCAAAATTTCTAAAAAAGCTTTTTAACATCATACATTAAAATTCATAAAAGAGCAAAATTTCATTTTAAATATTTGGGGGGGGGATTAATATAGTATTAAAATTACCAAGTGTTAAGTCTTGAGGTCTGTAAATAACTTGACCATACCTGTGTGAGGAAAGCTAGCTTGTAAATCTCAAGCATTCCAGACACTAAAATTCCATAACCGCTTACATTCCAGGCCTAAAAAGGGAGATTTTCTCCAATTCTGCCAGGAAGGCTAATCCTAGTTTACCAAGATTGGCTGTTTCATTAGGGAAACTTATTTAGAGGCCTGGCACTTGAAAAGATCAATCCAATACAGAAGGAAAACCAAAATTACTCACTTCAGATGAAATTACTTTCTCATGAAAATAATTATTTTATTTCAGTGCTAACCAGACGAGCAGAGGAATTAGAATGAAATGCATAAATCTGTCACATAATGGTTAGTGCCACAGAAGTTACATGGCTCAGTTCTCTTTGCACCGCTCCCTTCAGGAATTTATATACATTGCTAAGCTTCCCCCTAAGCCTTCTTGTCCCCACGCTAAACAGTCCCAGGTCCCCATCCTCCCTCATGGGAGAGATGCACCAGCCCCTAATCACCTTTGTGCCACTTCCCTGGGCTCTCCTCTGTCCATGTGTCTCCTGTACTATGAGCCCAGAACTGAACACAGTACTCCAGGTGTGGTGTCACGAGCGCAGAGCAGAGCAGAAGAATCACTATCCTTTTCTTCCAGCTAATCCAGTAATATCTTTATTACTACTAGAAATGTTTTTTCAATGTTATATCATGTAATTTTAATCAGAATTCTGAACCAACTGCCTTTACAACTACAGCTGGCTGTCAAAACATAAACACAATTCACTATTACCTTGGACAGCACCAGTTTTGATGGACAAGAATCCAGTCCTCAGCTAGTGAGTGACTGCTGAGTTTTCTGGGTTCATCTACCAGCCTTTGAGACCTTGCTGTTTACAGATTTCTTATATAACTTTCAGCAAGCCACTTTCAATGTTCTATTTGATAAGTAAGACAAGTAAGTTTGAGTCTGGTACGCACTGCTAAAACATCAAACATACACAGATTACCTGACTAATGAAATTACCTGACTAATCACACCAGGACAGCAGAGGAGCTGCAGCTCCTGTACCCACATTCACACTGACTTCTGTTGCTACCAGGACAGCCCTGTGGCACAGGCAGATCAGTGCCTCTGCTCACCCCAGCAAACAGGGTGAGCCTGTTGATCTTCTTGAGTTATTCTGATGTTACTGCACAGTACAGGAAAATGGGATGAGATTGTAAGAGGAAAGGGAACATTTGAAAGCCATGGACAGTCAATTGTTATGTAAGATACATTAATAGTTCAGCTACCGTGCCTATGCACCATATTCCTATTGATTTCACCAAAACCCAGGCACGAAAGTGGATCTGAACAAGTAACTAACCTCTCAGTGGTCATAAATGAGAACAAATGATTATTAAACAAAGTCATGAGCACCCTGAAAGCCTAAAGCAATAATGTAGATCAATATTGGAAGGGCTAAAATAGTAAGGCTTCTCCCTATTACTTTACTGTCATAGAAAAAAAATTAGTCCTTTTATCTTGGCAAAAACCATCAAGATAACAGTTGCAGAGACTTCAAAATTATTGTCATTCAAACAGGCTCCCTCAGGTCAGAAGTGTTAATCAACAGCTGAGGTGATTTACTGAACCTGCCTCACAAATAATCACTTTCTACTTGTTTTCATATTTTTGTTTCTATATACTAGTGAAGTTCCACGCTCTTAAAGGAAATATGATTATACTGGAATGAAACCACTGGATTTTATAAAAATCAGGCAAATGTCTCCATTGGGTTCAGATTTTTGGGTTTAAAAAAAATACCCAAATGTTCCCGTGTTCAAAAACACAGATATATTTCTGTTTCTAAACACTGTACTGCAAACTGAGCAACACACCAAAAAATTATTCTGTAAACAAGAATTTCCTTTCAAGACTGCAACTTGATGACAGTAACACAGACTTTCAATTTTAAAGAAACCACATTAGTGGTACTTGTAAAGAAACACTAAAGTAAAAAAGGAAAATTATTCAGGAAAGCTAACAGGCAATACACAATGACAATAAGATAGTTCACTTTATTAAGTCACAGCTGTGCATAGCTATTTATACAATGATTCTATAAAGCTACATTCATTTGTAGAGACTAAATCCTTCAGCTAGGACTCAAAAAGAACTCTCCTCCTTGCTTAGATAGCCTCACACAGCTCTTTTACATCCACATTACAAGAGAAAGCTTTGTGGAAATCATGGCACATGACAGAACACTTCCCCATCCTCTGGCATGTCTACAATACCTCATTAATTCAGGATTTCTGAGTACAGCATGTTCCAAACCTCCTCTCCTTAATGTTAACAGACACAAGAGACAGCCCCCCATCTTTTCCTAAGCATTTAACCTAATTGTAGAGAAAACATATTAAAGTGGTATCATTGAAAACAGAAGGGGCTGGAGACTCGGAATGCAAATTTACAAGTTTTCATTCAGATATTTTCCTCTGAATTACTCTGCAACAAAAATAAGGTTTTCCTACCTTGATGAATGGGGAATGATCTTAATTCAGAAAAAGCACATGAGTCCATGAAAATAAAACAAATGAAGGGGAAAAAGGCAAGGATAGGAAAAGTTATGGTTACGGTTGGTGCAGACTGACAAAAAGGATTAAGAGAACATTGGTTGCATAAAATTGTGGCTGTAGATGCTTGAAGGAAAACAGTCATTTCAGGAATAGAAAAGAAAGAAGAAACTACCCTGAAAGAACAAAATGCTGGATAACATTCAGAAGGGGAGCAAGTTAGAAGCAACATCAGCACAAGAAGGTGGAAAAAAAGAAGTTAAAATAGTGGCCATGAGAAAGAACAGAAGGCTAGACTGAAAGAATAAAAAACAAGGTCTGATCCATCTGGATAGTGAAGACAAGGGAGTAAAAGATACTACAATGCAAGACATACTGAAAATGCGATCCAGGTACCAGATAAAAAAGAGTCGTTGTCATTAGTATAAGAAAACTGATAAATCAAACCAAGATGAAGCATTAAGAGCTTCTTAAATACTTTGTAATATTGTTTACAGCTTCATCAAATTATCAATAAATTATCAATATATTGGAAGGATATATATTTAGAGGTGATCAAAATTCACAATTCACAATTCATTCTGAATTGCTTTAACATTTTGAGTTTGTGCAAAATAAACCAAAAATATTAGTAATAATTTATGTTTACAATTCAGATTTTGCAGGGGACCATAAGTTTTATTCCAAAAATCTATGGTCACATGCACTGTGTGTTTAAAATATTTACAAGACTGACTGGCGGCTGCAGAACTGGCAGATGCACCAGCTTTTATTTTAGCAGTAGCATCTTTACTAGTATGATTTACTGTGGCAGCCTTAAGGCTTTTGAGATTCCATTTCTTCCACACACATTTCCTTAGTTTTAGACCCAAAATTAAAAAAAAAATTTAATTTAGAAAAATGTTTATGTGAATTTTGAAAATCACCCTATGAATATCCCCAAACGAAATTAAAATTGCTTTATTTCCTGTCTCCAATGTGGAAATTTTTATGGCCACTGTCAACTTTAGGCATGAGATCCAAGCCTATTAACTGAAATAATTATATTCATATTCTTAAAGTCAACCAGAACAGTTTTTGCTATCTCCCTTCTGCTTCTGCTTGGGTTTGCACATGGGTGAATATCCTTACTTTGTGGTTGTTCCAGTTCTGGTAATTTAATACATTTGCATATGTTTTGTTGAGGTTGCGAATTATTCTCGCAGCAATACTTAATTTACTTTGTTCCGTGGTTTTCAGTCTTCATTCCACTACAATTTTACACAGCTCCCACACTGTAAGTTTCATGCAGGCACAGAATCTGTGCCATAGCAGCTTTCTCCTAGAGTTCTGGGATTTTTTTCTGGTCTGACTAAATTTCACTTAAGTCCATCCATTATCTGTTTATAGTGGTTACACATTACAGAGAATGCTATGGGCTTATCCAGCTCTTCCAAGTTAAAGGCCCTTTAGGAGTTTGGAGTATGTAAAACTTTGATGTATATAAACCTTCTCTAAATTAAATTTTTCAGGGCGATCTTTTCTTACCATACAATTTTCTCTGTCTGTAACTAAAAAGAAAATCCTGCCCAACAAACAGTGACTGACAAAGGTTTTGAGAAAATATTTCTGTATTTTACATCTACTTCAAAAACATATTTCTATTGCATTTGTCAATCAGTTTCAACATACAAGATAATGAAATCCACATTGTCGTGAAATCTAAATAAGTGAGCACTAAAGATAGAAATCTGCTCTAAATCTAAGTCTTGGAATGGATATCAAATGACATATGCAATCTAAAAATCATAAACTTTTACTGTCAAAACATGCAGATATTTAATGGTAATATAATACTGCTTCCTTTAATGGTTATATTATATTATGTCCAATAGAAATTTCTAGGACAGGTATAGTCTGAATTCCATAAGAATATTTGTAAAAAGTGGCTCTTTTTCATAGGGAGATACATTCAAGGCCACCTACAAACAGTTGCTTTAGCAAAAAACATTTTGAGATGTTTGATCCAGTTTTGTTTTTCTTAAGGACAAATAATGTGGTTCTGGGTGCCATGGTTTAGTTGAGATGTTAGGGCTGGGTTGGACTCGATGATCTTGGAGGTCTCTTCCAAGTTAGTGATTCTGTGATTAATGCCATGGATAATTAGTTCAGATTCCTTTCCAGGTTACTGTTTTAAACTGTTTTTCTTCCTGTTTATATACCTACAACCAGTACTAAGAAATCATCATAATTATTATTACTGAGCAGAAAAAGCCAGCTTTGACACCAGTATGTCTAGTACTGCATTTTCTACGCATGTGTGCATGTATGGCATTACACACATAAGGCAACAGATAAAAAAGGCAAGACAGTCTTACTGAAATGCACAGCTGGTAGTCTGGACAAAATATGCCTCAGGGAGAGGAAAAATACTACCAGTACTTGATACCCACTGAAAAACTAAGTCTACCAATCCCTCCTTAAAGTCATCATCAAAATATTTAATAGATTCATGAAATACTTCCCAGAAAGCAACATATACTTCCAAGTATACAACAAATACTTCCAAGAAAGCAACTTGTATCCAATCAGGATACACCTGACAATGTAAAACCATTTCTAAAAAGTCTACAAAAGAGATTTCATATTGTAATTTTTTTAAATTAAAAATAAAAATATTCAAGTGAACCACAGCAATTGCAACAAACTCCTGCTTGAGAAAAAAAGCTTTTAAAAATCACATCATTTAATATTATAATTTAATTTTACTATTCACATATTATATTATGTGTAATTCCCAAAAAAATTCCCTTTGATGACTGCACATGATAATTTCCAGCTTTTCCTCATCAGTTCTGGTTGTTCTCTCTCTGGTACATACATGCATGTGCTTGCAGCTGTCTTCTGGAGCCAAAAGCTGCCAATCTGGATGCAGGTACATTGGCTTATGTGTCACATTAATACTTTTATGTGCCAAAATGCAGCAGCTACTCATGTATCAATGAAAATGCTACTGGTACTCTTACCTGAGAAAAAGCATCTTTAGCACCCTGGGAACAAGAAGAAAATGTGCCACAAAATCTGCCAGTCTGTCAAACAAGTGCTCTTGGATAGGCTTCAAAGCGGGGAAGAATCAGGGCACAGATACCCACATAAATTCAGATATGGTTGTGTGCAGAACACTGATGCACAACATTGTTAATGCTCACAGTTATCTGGGGTGAGGCACTGCTGATACAAAGGAACAGCACTGACACATATATCTCTAAATTAGTGCCCTCTCTTACTCCAACACATTGTTCTTCTACACATTTCAACAACTTCTAAGCATTTAATTGGTTTTGAGTATATTAAAATAGTTCCTATTCAGAATAGCCCTGACAGACATGCATTATCTGAAGCATATGTTAGGTTTATCAGCCAACAACTAAGAAAGAATTGAAGTGATGTACTGAACCAAAGCCCGTGTACATCACAGCCTCCTGCCACAGGAATATTTTCGTCCTTAATAAAGAGCATAGTGATCACCTGAGGTAACAGAACCCATACACTTTTGATTTATGCTCTTAGCTTAAATATTCCAAACTCATAACTTTTATACATTTTAGCACCATTACACAAAGTAAGCAAAGTAAAATTAACAGTCCATTTAATCTAAAAGTTTATTTTAAGCTTCATGATATAAACCTGCTAACTAAACTAATTCTTCATACATTCAACTACAGCTCCTTAAAGTTACATGAAAAGTTAATCTTGGACCTACAGCTGATGCAGTTGAGCTGCACGAGTAAAACTCTTGCATTTTTGTACTTGTGGAATATGCAGATTATTTGTTTGATAATAGCAGCTCTAAGAACACTTTAAATTAATTTATATGTTAAACTTCTGGAGAAACCACAACCACAAGGAATCCTGAAGCACTGCAATAGATTATTTTGAGAGAAACAGACTTCTCCAGACTATGAGAACAATTTTTTTATCAAAACAACAAAAAATATATTCAATACACTGAATGCAGGGGTTTAAAACTCCTAAAACCACAAAGCAAATCAAAACTAGACAAAGGTAAAAAGTACAAGGATTTTAATTTGCAACTCACAAGCATATAGGAACTTCTTTCAGCTTGCAGAAATACTGAAGGGAAAAACTTGCAAGGGGAATGTTTAGCTTTTACTGAGAGGAACAAAAGCAGCTTCTTTGGGTATCTCAATGTTAGGCTGTCAAAATACAGGGACTGATCTGCATTTGCCAGATACCTTCAACTCTCTCAGCCCGTTACTGATTTTTTTTTTTTCAATTTTCAGTAAACCTAAGGCCAAAAGTCTAAACATCTAAAGTTTAAACCATAAAATGTTTTTGTTTGGTTCAAAATTAGTAAGGTATCCAGTCACACCTCTTGTATTAAATTTATAACAGAATTAAAAATATGTAAGAACGGGAATATTGTAAATAAACACAGTTAAAAAGTAGATTAAGACATTGGACTAACATTCTAGGAGGCAAGAATTGATCCTAAGAAGTGCTATTCGCTTATCTGGGTGTATTTGCACACCTTTAAGCACAAATAAACAAAAAATTTTCAGTCCACCAAAGGAGACATTTCAGAAAGCATCATCAGCATCTGTCAGTGCATTACAAATGTCTCTAAAAGGAATAGCTGTAGATTATAAACTCTTTTCAGGTTTCTACCCAGTGCAAGCAGTAAGATCTATGGCCATTCTTTAGGTGTCAAGACATTAGGTTTTACGGAGAAAAAAAAAAAAGACATTTATTTTGTAGAACTAGTGATTACTTCTGTACATTGTAAACTTCAATGAGCATGCTTCTCTGAGTGTGTCTTAAACATTTTTCCTCAAAAATATTGCTGTTGCCCATATGTGTTTTGTAGCAAGTGCTATCAATAGTTCAGTGTTCAGACACAGAGTTTCTCAAGGCTGCTCAACCACCTGAATTTTAAATCTACCCTTCGCTCTGCACGACTTGTTTTTATCAGCTTGACAGTATTTGGACTTGGACAAATGACAGGAATTAGGTATCCTTCATTTAATAATGTGAAGCAGTCAAAATTCACTCAGAATATTTACAATATTCTCATCAGTTAGTAACTATTTCAACACAGAATGTGAAATACAATCAGTGTAATACTATTTGATGATAGGTTGATTTGCAAAAAATAATAATTTGTATTAATAATAGCAACTTAATATGCAAAAAAGGTCAAAAGCCAGAATTTCAGAGAGGTTGTTTTATGTTGGTGATAATGATCTGGTGAATACTGGGAATCTGCTCCTCTTTACATATATTTCTGTACCAATATAATGCTACTGATTCTACAGCATAAAGGAAGTATTTTTTTGATAGCTAATTATGAAATTTGAAAAACATTTTTATAGTGAGAATTCTAATTTGTTTGTAAAACAAATTACTTCTGGTTTAATTTATGCTCTAAGTAGGTATACTTATCTAGTCTGTATTTTATTACATTAAGCATTTACATGTTAAAGATAAATAGTAATGAAAGCTTATACATTTCCAATTCAAGATGAAATTATAAAACAATGTAGAACCTTGACCTTTCACAGTCTTGAATTCTGACTCTGCCCCAAACTGACCTTCCCAAGGAGAAAGCTACCCTAAACTAGCAGTTACCAACCTGCTCAGGACCAGGGATCACTGCCCGAAGCAGATCACAAAGGCAGCAGAGACATAAAGCAAAATCAGCCCTGTTTTTTTCAACTATTATTTAAAATCCTGAATTCACAGGAAAAGGCTGTGACTTCTCATTTGCCTTTTCTAAAGTATTTAAAGCCATAGCTAATTCCCACTGAAGTTGAGTAAAAAAACCCAATACTTTCACTTCTTATGGTGAAGGCAGTCATCATATTTACACAGTATTTAGAATTTCCATTACCCAGTATATCTGAATTTGTGTAATCCTAGAAAAATTTGCTGTCAGAGGTATTTTGACTCCAAGTCAAACCATATCCATAAGACAGAATGCTGCGTACTTCTTTAAATGCAAGCTAAAGAAACTCACCTCTACCTTTCTACCATTTGGCTCCTCAGCAATGTATTTGGGAACCTGAAAAAATTATAAATACTTATTGCATAATTAGTTCTGTTTCACACAATAAAATAAACAGTATTTTCAACTAAGACAATTCACACCATGAACTGTGAATATATTTCAGATAAGGAACAAAGGTCTAAAACCGGTATTTTAGGCGACTACAAGATACTCTTAGAAATGTAAAGCAACAAAAGTAGTTTTTCAAGCTGGGGTTTTTTACCCCCTAAAAAACATACAGAGATAGGTGTAATTCCATTTCTGTATCCAAGGGAAAAAAAAAAAAAAAAAAAAAAGAAATTTGATATTTCTTGTCTTATCCATAAAAAATTTTTTAAAAATGTAATACTCCTTTCCACCTCTCACTTTTCTGAGTCAGAGCTTTCTTCTGTAGTAAATTGCTCAGTAACAACGTCTTAAAAAATTAGCCAGGTTTAGCAAGAAATAGGGGCTGGATTGATGATTTATTGATTAAAAGCTCCAAATAGGCAAAGACCTTATATATATCTGGATCTACACCTAAATGTGTCTACACACAAAACTTAACAAACTGTACAGGGCCCCTGTATCTCTGGGAGGATTGGAAGGCTTAAAAGTTTCCGTTTTAGGGTCACCTTTCCTTTATTAACAGCACGATCTGTAGAGAACATGCTTGCAGAGACATTTGCCTGCAATTTTTTTGGGCCTAAACAAAATGTTCCTAAAATCCAGGCAGGACTGGGACTTTAGTTTATTAGGCTTTTTCAAATTATCAACTTGACACTTCACACTCACAGGCTGAGGGAAAGCTGTAAACACTTATCTGGGCCAATGCCTGCCGGCTGCTCTGTTCAAGGGCAGTAAGATGTTCCTCTAGCTACACTGGGCCACACTGGCATGAGAACAGTTTTTGAGCACGTTTCTGTGCTTCAGACATGTGTTTATTCTATTCTCCAAGTCTGAGAGTTGTCTGATGTTCATACAGATATTTATATATAACACTAAAGGAATAATCTTTTTGTAACTTACCCACCCAAAAGTAAAGCTCATCAAGAGAGATAAAAGTCAGCCATTCCTTCTGCAACCAGTACACTGTAAAACACCTTTTTCTGAAAATTATACAAATGCAAAGTTTAAATTAAGTAATCTGTGAGATTTACTTTGCATAAAGAATCACAAACAAGTATAAATGTATTTTACATCTAAGAATCTCTAATTCTGGCAACATTGCAATGCAGACTGTGCTTTCCTCCTCTCTCATGTACTGCATTCAGAGAGGATTACATCATCTCAAAGAGCCAGAAAACCAGAAATAGACCAGGGAGGCCCATTACAGCAGACACAGAGTAATTAAAAAGATTATAACTTTTTAGTTAGAGAAGGAGATAACTCAAGAAAAAAGGGTCATTATGTTTCTAAAGAGACAAATAAAATCATGTGCAATTTAAGTTCTCGGAAAGGCCAGTAATGCCTTCCATCTGTTGAGAAGGAGCCTTGGAAGCACAGGAGGAAACTGTTCCTTGATCCAGCAAAGAATTTAAACTAGAAGCTTAAATATTTGAGCAAATTGTTGGAACCAAAGGTAGTTGTTTGAACTTGATCATCAAATTCATTATTTCACTTTCCTGAAATAATTTAGTAAGCATTAAACACAGAATAATCAAAGTGTTTTTAAGCACTCTGATATTCCTGAAGGACATTGACAAGCTCTATTTTAATAGCAGGGCAGCAAGACAAATTATTTCTTAAAAAAATTAAATCACTGGAATGTTATTAACTGCACTGAAACTATAATACACACATGCTCATTCTGTGATGCTGTGATTTCAGAGTAAAATGGTTAAGTAAAGCCAATTAAAAAATTGTTTTGATATTATCCTAAATTAAAGTGTTTCATTTTTATGTCAGGTTCCTCCTCCTAGATATTAACTTTTTTTTAAAAAATTGAATTTTATAATGAAATATTCTACATATTTTCAAACATTTTTTGTTTCTTTGTTTCAGTGGGGGAAAAAGTTCTGGTTCAAAGCTCAAAAGAGCAAATTTTCTGGTTTCAAAGATTCAAGTAAATCAATACTTGCAAATAATGTAGGCAGGTCAAAAGGAATGTCCTGCTTCTTCCAAAAAGAATGTCATTCTGACAAATCACTGGTAATCACTGGTAATCACATTATACTGAATTCTTCAACAAACCAGAAAGGCATATATAGTCAAAGATTTCCTTACTAGTGTAAGAAAAGAGAGAAAGGAAAAAAATCAGAAGCAACTATTCTCCCTTTCATCACCCTCAGAACCTTTTGCCTCAGGGTTCAAAACTTTCTCTTATGTTAGTAATGGCATGGCCTGATAAAATCTTTTAAACAAAGCTTGATTCAGTATCACTCAACCAGTTCCAACCACAGAAAATTGCTGTACAGCAGGCACACATTTTCCTCCATGGTATAGCTTTAAGAAAAATGAAAGCTAACAGCAGTGAGGCTGCTCTCTTCAAGGTTTGCTATTTCTACAAAGCTCTTTTGCAGTGCCCAAGGGTCTTGGAAATACAATCTACACTCCTTTCTCAATATGGAAATGTTTGCTAAGCTCAAATACTTGCTCAGCACCTGACTCCTACATGTTAATTTCTCCATGCACATGGGTACTTAAAACAATAAGCCAATTGGACTCACCAATTCTTCAAAAATAAAAGGAGGCTTTTGTATTTTATGTTGATAGACATCAAGAATTGTTCTACCCAAATGTCTTTTAAAAACCTCTAAGATAACGTATATTAGCAAATATTTAAACTTTAGAAAGTAAAACTGACAGTCAAAGCTCTTAGTATTGCATAAAGTTCACTGCAGGTTTTTCCAAAACACAAAATACTACACATGTAGTTAAGAAACATACTAAATAGGTAAAAGATATGTAAAGGTACTTAATCACAAAGACAGAACTTCCACTTCCTTCTCATTACCTCCGCAATATTATACTATTGTTATTCATGTACTTCTAAAAAGCACACTAAGAAAAAGTGACAAATCTGCCACTATTCTCATGTACTCAGTATTACAAGCTGGAAGCTCTGTGAAGATTGCAGCTAGCCGAAGTTCACCCTAAAGGCTGAATATTGAGCAAACATTACAGTGGAGCAGCATCCTCAACCAGGCCAAGGAACCCCACAGAAGAGATCCCATGTTCCCTTTAGAGAGCTGCAAAACAAGCAGAGAGGAATGCAGCAGTACAATTCTTCCAGTCAATAAATATGTTCTAAGGATACTACTGGGCGCCGGGAAAAATACAGGGTAAAAAAAAAACCAAACCAAAAAACAAACAAACAAACAAACAAACAAAAAACACCAAAAAAAATGCCTGATCTATCTTTCCTGGAGTTCTCATGGGAGCCAAAGCCTCAGCCTGACACCCCAGCGGTTTCCAGGCGGTGCCACCTCACAGAGGCGACAGCGCTGGGCACGGCACCCAAGGCAGTAAACACCTGGCGCGGGCCCAGCTGGGAACGGCGGGATTCTCCCCCGCTGCCCAGGTAGCTGGAAGCGGTTTTAGGCCAGGTTTTTGTGACACAAAACTCGGAACAGCCCATGCAGGGCGTGAGGCTCGCAGCCAAACACAGACACCTCGGCCAGAGGCGGCCCAGCAGGAGCCGCACTCAGCCCAGGGCCGCTTCCGTTCCCCGCCTCCCCGCCGCTGCCGAGCCCGGCACTTTCGTTCCGGGCCGTGCGAGGGCCGCGCGGGAGCCGCGCCGGGCGGCGGGTGAGGAGCGGCCAGCGCGGGGGGGCCGGAGCCGGGCGATGAGCTCCGCGGCAGGAGAGAGGAGGCAGCAGCGCCGGGGGGGCCGCGCTCTGCGCGGGGCGGGCTCGGGCGGCCCGCGGTAGGAAGCGGTTTTGCTCCTACAGGGCCTTGGTGCCGCTGCGGCGGCTGGACGGGGCCGTCCGGACGCGGCCGAGCGGCAGAACCGCGCTGTTATTCCGGTGGCAGAGGCAGCGGCCGAAGGCCGTGCCCGCCCTGCGCTATCTCCGCCCGCAGAAGCTGCGAGCGCGGCGCTCCGGAGCCGGCCTGCGCTCACCGCGCTGGGCTGACAGCGGGCAGCGGCACAGAGGGAGCTTACGGCACCCCCGTGAGCTTTACACAACCCCCGACATGGGCCGGCCGGCCTTCTGAGTTGTCCTAGAATTGCAGCTGGAGTGTGGAGGGTACCCTCCATCGGCAGTGATTTATCAGGGGTTTGGAGATGAGGTGCAGACGGATTTGTTATTTAGTCTTAAAGATACGTGTCTGAAGTGAGATTTGGGTCTTAGAACTGTAGTCTGTCATTTTCTGCAGTGTACTGTTCTCTATGGATAGTGCTGCAGCCTGGGCACAGCTATTATTTTGAGGCCACAGCGTATCCCTTGTCAGTATCGATAACAAAAGTGCTTCAGGGTGTCACCGTTGAGCGCCACAGAGTGCAAGCGTTACACTGAAAAGAATCAGTTTGCAGGCTGGGAATGCATGTCCAATTCCAGGGCCTCTCGCCCGCTGCTTCCTGAGGAAACTTGATAATAGTACAGGTTACTCTGAGATGTAAAGTATACTTGCTTTATTTCAGAGAAACATGAAAGCGAATCGAAAATGAATAGAAAATTTGTATGCGTATTATATTTTGCGTTTATTTGCACGGACATCCTTGACCTTTCAAAAGTTACACCTGGCAGAGGGGAAAGGATCATAGCATGCATGAATACTTAATTTAACCAGAAAATAACAGTTTTTTCTGGGATTGATTTTAATTTTGTGTTGGAAACTTAGCTGAGTTTTTTGATTTTATTTACATGCTTAATTTTGGATTACATTTCAGGATTTACTGTTTGTTGGTTTTTGTTAAACATTGTTGTACTTTATTAGGAACGGTTATAAGCACAACACTGACTCCCTTAGCTTCATTGTCCAAGAGAGCAAAGTTTATTATTCTTAATCTTCTTTTATACACATGTTTGAGAAGGTCCGAGAGGTAAAACTCTCATTGGTCATTAAAGCAACACATCCACCATCATTGGTTAAGTGGAACACTACCCCTTGACTGTTTCCTGCTAAGATTGTTGTCCTTTACCAAGGACTGTTTGGATTCTTTCTCGTTCTTTCTCGTGCTTTCTCAAGCCAGACTGAGAGACTAAGCTCCCTGCTTACTTTTTGCATTTAGCATCCATAAAACATGACTTTGCTACATCATTTGATAAGTGTGATCCTTGACATGAAAAAGTAAACCTAAATTAGCTGAAAGTAAATACTGAGAATAACTTCATTGCAAGTGATGCAGCACAAAGTGCCAAAGGCAGTTTGTAACTACTGCAGGCTGTGCAGACTGCTGGCTGGGGGCTGCTCTGAGGATGAGAGAGCACAGCTAAGTCTGTCTGCCCTGGGGTGGGCACACGGTCATATTTCTTATGTCTTGCTCACAATACATGGTGACAATTCTGTGTCAGCTGCAGAGCAACAGGACAACAGCTGTCCTGAAGAAAGCCTGAAAAAAAATCCATCAGTGGTACTAAATAAACACAAACTTGCAGAAGTCTATACTGGGTCACCACTTACTATCTGGTACATGGGGCAGCAAAGCCCTCTTCTAGCTGTTACTTTTCTGCCTCAAGCTCTTCTGGAAAATTTCTTCTATTTCACAAAGTTCTAGCTAAGAGGGATTTCATTCGTTATTTGGTTGGCCCCACACAATAAATTTTAGGATGGAGATCTAAATTTGCACAATTAACTTTTGTCTGACGAATTTCTATCCTGTAGGCATATAATTTCTTGTCAGTAGTCATGCTGGAGACTAATGGGATTGCTCATCCAGGTAAATGCTGCTTACCAGTGTTTTCATAAACTTTTAGACACAGATCTTAACAGAGAAATAATAGACTTCTGCAGGAGTTAAGTGAGTGGGATAATGAATGCGCATCTGTGAATTAAGGGTACAGATCTCTGGTTCTTTCCAGCTGTTTATCTCATACTCTCCTGAAATCTCCTGAATCGGATTATTTTATTATTCTTTCTGTTGTAGGAAATACCTTCTTTGATTAGATCTTTTTGTTAAATGAGATAATACAGAATAATTTCTACCAGATTAGTTCATAAAATTGGATTTTTATTTAAGAACATTTTGTCTGTTTCAGCTAACCATGTCCTTAAATTCATCTACCCTTTTAAATGAAGAAAACACTCAAGGAGTAAAAAGAAATAGTGAGTGTTTGGAAAGTGTACTGCAGACTCCATCATCGTTTCAAGATAATCCACTTCAACAATTACAGTTAGCATCGCAGGAAGTACTGGAAAAGGCAAAAAAGAGTGGGAGATCGAAATGCCCCCGATGCAATAGTTCAAGGATGTTTTATTGTTATACATGCTTTGTTCCTGTTGAAACTGTCCCTACCAAAGAAATTCCAACTGTGAAGGTTAATATTTTTTAATAATTTTTTATAACATCTTTTGGGTTTTAGTTACTGTGGACAGAGAATTAGTCCATCTGCAGCTATTTCTTTTCTGACTCATTCTTTACAGGCATTCATCTTGAACATAGCTATAAGTATGAATAAACTATAGTTAGATAAAATTACTGTTCTTACTTGAGGAATTACATGTACAAACACTGAAAATGTTCCAATACTCACATAAACATTTATGTATCTTGTAGATGAGAATATAGGCTGAAGTCACTCAGCTTCTCATGCAACTATGTTTTCACTTAGTTGTTGAAAGATTCTTTATGGTGTTCTTGCACATTCTTCAGTTTCTAACAGCTCTGGCTAGGACACATTATATTGTGAATAAAAAATTTGTCCATAATCAAGGGTGAATTTTACATGAAATGTAAAAGACATTCCTATATGTCATGGTTCTATAATTCCAATAACTACTCTTAAAATATAAATAGTGTAATGCCTTTCAGCTAAGATACTTGGGGAAACTATCAGAGAGGACTAAGACATTTTGGAAAATCAGTTAGGATCTAAGATGCATTTTGAAGACACTGGAGTTTGAAAGCATCATGAAAATACTTTAGAAGTACTTTGGAATTTTCACCTAGTAAACTTAGGTGTATTTTCATTGAAATAGCCATTTTCACAGTTGGGTAAATACCTAATAGCGATAAGTATTCATATTTAGAACCATTATATTGCTGAAATTAAGATCATCATTGCTTACACAGGTATTTGCAAAAATTGAATGTAAAAGCTGCTTCTTCTAACTTGTCTCTAGTTTAGCTCTAAACCTATCAAAAAAATCAGATATTTTAATTACATGCCCATAGGAATTCCTCACAAATTTTGAGTAAGTTTTTGTACAGATGTTCATAAATATGATGATAAGTACTGTTTTTTTCTTCTTTTGCTCTAGTTACCTTTGAAGATTGACATTATTAAACACCCAAATGAAACAGATGGCAAAAGCACTGCTGTGCATGCTAAGCTCCTGGCACCTGATGATGTTACAATTTATAAATACCCTTGCATTCCAGAATATGAAGAGAAGAGACATGAAGTAAGAGATTCTCTAGAGATAGCCAGGCTTTATGCTGGGGAGGTGCAGCTTCCTCCTGCAGTGGTAGTGCCCTGCTGGAAGAAAATCACTGTTCCATTAGTGCAGTCCATCCTGTGCTCTCTCAAAGCTTAGCTCCGCAAACACGGAGTTCTGCACTGTAACCTTTTCTCCAGTGCTGAGAAAGACTGCAGCACTATTTAACCACCTTGAATTTTCTATGTTCATCACCTCACATAATGGAAATTGGATTTACTGTGTATCTGAAGAAATATTTTGCCTATAAACAAAAGTATGGAGCAAGTTAAACAGCAGTTGAATGTTGTGCTCATATTTAGCAGCTGCAGTATTTAAACCTCCTTAAAATTTTTAACATCCACTATGACAGAGGAAAACAACTAAAATGCAACTCTTGTCTCTCATAGCATAGAGCACAAAAAAGTGAGCTATGAACATGTATATGTTCATTTAAATGGTAAGCTATTTTTTTTGCCCTCCTGCCCCATATACTGCAGTGACAAGTGACATTTGAACTTCCTCAGGGCTGACACCATTGTCTTGGCTGAAAAATCTTTTTATACAGAAGTGTTAAGAGTTAGTAGAGTGCAGTAGAGAGTAGCATGGAAGTAACATTAAATAAAAATTTCTGTTAATGATCTCAATTCTTTAACATGTTTTTAACATGGATTTAACACTATATTGGACAACAGAATATGTTTAAGAGATACTGTTTCATCTTGTCCTGGCTTAAATGTTTACAGACAAGGTAGAAAATTTCTGCTCTTTAGTACAACAAATCCTGTTGTTTTATTAGATTTTATTGACACTCAAATCTCTTTGTTTTCTTCATTCAGATAGCACTTATATTTCCTGGCCCAAATTCAGTTTCAGTAAAAGATATTACTTTCCATCTCCAAAAGTACACCAAGAAAGGTGTCTGTGCTAGTGATGATGACTGTTCCAGAGAGCCACTTCTTAAACAAGCAAAAATAGAACCTGAAGAAGAAAAGAATCCAAATGACTGCATCTCAAGCAGCAGGAGTGAAGGCACTAGACTGAAGAAGATAATATTTATTGACAGTACCTGGAATCAAACTAACAAGATAATAACTGATGAACGACTTCAAGGTAAAAAAATACAAGTTGATACTGAGATGTTATTGCTGCAGAAATGATTAAGGGATGTATGACTATAACAGACCTCATTATGATGTAAGCTTATGTGCACCCTATATCTGAGTGCATATGAAGAATTCAGCAGCCTGTTCCAGGGCTGTAGAATACTTCCTGAGCCAGACTCTGTTACTTTTCATGACATATAATTTATTTTGCAAAAAGATAATACTAGTACTAAGAACGCATTTATATCTATTTGTCTCACTTCTCTATTGGAGCAAATTTCCACAGTCTCAGAGAAGGGGATCTGTCACATTAGGCAGTGAACAGACTGAACTACAAAACAGTAGTTTTAATGGCCTCTGAAGGAAGCCAGGAAGATTCCTTTGCAGATGGCTGCTCTGCTTTCCAGAGACTCAAAGGACCATTTGTGTACATGTTGGTGGCAGACAGGCCCCAAGAAGGTAAATGAGGAATTTAGGAGGTTCAGCACAGGTTTATCCTGGCTTGGGTTCTCTTTCTCCTGAAGTTGTTAATGGACATTTCCATGAGCTCACTACTCCAGACAAAAAGGGAAGGGCTGCTTGCCCTCCACACCCTTCCAACTCTGAAAGCAGGAACTGGTAGTTCTGCAAAAAGTTTTGTCTTAGGTTCTTTACAAGAAGTTTACATTTAAGCCTTCTAATTAAAACCACAAAAGACAAAACAATTTAGCAATAGCATTCCATTTCCTTTGAGATGAATAGGAGTTTGAAAATAGTTTTATTAGTGCAAAAAGTGCACTTAGCTGGAAGGCAGGTTGTTAAGTTTCTATGCAATATATATATACACACATATATACTACTACTGATTCTCACTGTATCCTACAAGGAATTTCACAGACTTTCTTACATGGAAGATGAATGTTGCCTTGCTGTCTAGTCAGTTTATTAAAGAATCTTACATGTTAGTATGATGTATTGGCTAATTAAAATCCTGTTATAAGTATTTAGTTTAACACAAAACATACTCTATTAGCTACATTGAAGTATTACTGCAAAGATCAGAGGAATTGCATGTTTCAAGTTAATGTTAGGCATTTGAAACTTCTTTTAAGAGGATGAATTCAAGGAAAGTAACAGGCAGCCAGGGGAACTGAAAATTTCCACGGAAGCCTATGCATATATCAAAAAGTCATAATTGGTGTTACTTTGGAACTCTTAAATGGTTTCCAGTTTCCCCATGACAATGCTGATTTGGTGGACTGCTCTCTCATTTCTAGAACATCTCAGTTCCAGCTGTTTTGCAGCCCCCTGGGTTTCTGAGCACCTTTCAGGATTGCTGTGAGATTTAATAGCATCATGCAAGTCACAGAATTTTAACCATGCACACATTGGATGTAACAGTGTGCATAGACCGTGCATGTATTGCTTTCCTTAGTACTTGTCATAAAGAATATAAATTGCACTAATTCCCCTTTTAGAGATTGCAGTTTTCACTTCCAAGATGAATGGGACAGAGTTTCTTTAGGCATAAACTGATGACATTTTTATGTTGTACATACGTGAAAAATGGAGAACTGTTTTAATTTTTTAGTTCAATTACAAATGAAGTCATCATCCAACAAAATATTCATCATATGCTACAGTTCAAAAAGGAGTGTTCATAATTCCAAATAAAAAGTAATTGCCATACTTATTAAGTTACAAGAAATACTGAATGAAAACATTAATGAAGCCAAGAAAATGTAAAGAAAAGCGTTGTGTTTTGTAAGCCTATATTTATATAGACAATAAATCTAGTAAAGTGTGCTGCAAGAGAAAGCAAATGAGTATATCAGTCTTAAAATAAGCTGAGAGTACTTGGACAAAAAAATTCTATATCTTGGAAAAGTGCTTAATATATCTTTAGAAAACAAAATTAAATCAGTTAAAGACAAGAAATATATGAGAGTTGGTAATGCCTAGGATTGAGTACTTCATTAAAAGTGATCCCTAGATCAGAAAACAAACAGTTGAATTTAATGCTAATGATGACTTTTGCACGAGTGATGAAGCTTATTGGTAATATCACCATGATTGTTAAAGAAACTGACTGCTTTGTTTTTTTCCTGTAAGTTTGAACTGCTTTCAGATATTTTATTAGCTGATACATTAGTACTGTGGGGTTTCATATGAACAGTGCATGTTTGTAAGCAAACATTGCCTTTGGCTGTATACAGATACAATACAGATGAAACACTCTCAGTAACCTTTTATCCTTAACCCCCTCTGGTTTTATATTTTTTTTATGAAATGTCCTAAAATCTTGTGTTTGAAAGTAACTGATACTGCACTTGTGGTAAGCTCAGTTGTGTCCATACTCTTGCCTTCAGTGAACTTTTGTTTGTATTCAAACCACAACTATGGGAGATTCCACTGGAGGAATCATCCCTGAGTTTTACTTCACTGCTTTTAAGGTGGAAGCACTGCTGGATTTGATGGAAGTTTTCACTTTGGTTAGGGATGAGAATTCAAGTGTTGAAAACCCTTGAGGGCAATAAGCTTAATGCCGTTTCCTACTGCTATTTTAATTTTCACATGTGTAGGATTATTAGAGGTAAGAATTAGACTATGCTATTTTGAGGCTTTGGTTCTGAAATGCCAATAATAACATTTAAATTCAGGGACAGATTCTCCCATTCAGGTTTTTTTTTTTAAATGCTGTAATTAAGATTTCTTCTACAATGCAGGATACCATACATTCCTAACTATAAAGCAAACAACTAAATCCCTCTTGCAATTACACTGAAAAGAATTAAACACAGTTTGTAGGTTAAAAGTGTAGAATTACAAGTGCTGGGCTCTAGCCTGAATTTGGACTTTACTGAAGCTTTGCTGTCCATAACTTCCAAGCAATTCTTAGACCATACAGGTTTTTGTAATGTTACCTGTACTAAACTGTCCCATGAGACAGAGTATCAGATTGTGATAAAAAAGGTAACTTTACAATCTGCTTCTGATACTGTTGACCCCATTCTTCATGATCCAACTGCCCATCCTGTTTACAAAGTGATAGCACATTAAGGTGGTTTCAGTTTTGAATAGTTTGTGCATCTTAGGAAACATAAAAAGCAAGATATGTGTTTAAAATTCATTGGAATAATAGAATAGTTACAGAGACTATAAGTAGATTAAAGATTTTCTTGTGCCATACAGACACCTCTTTCATCTTATGTGGGAACGCTTTTAGTATCTAATAAATTTAATTAAGAGATGCTGTCATACTTATTCTTCAGTAATTTCAATTATTTAACAAGCATAAATGAAAAGTTCCTGGCTCTTGAAAGTAGTCCTCACTTCAGCAACACTAACAGTCTGAGGGATTCTGTTTTACACTTGAAAAGTATAAACTTTGCAAAAGATGAAATAATAATTTTATGAACATTGATGAGTCTTCGTAGGTGTGGGTTGCACCCTTGCCATGTGAAGCGACTGCAGTTTATTGAGGGGTGTGTGGCTGTTTAATGAAAGGATTACCTGTAATTAATTGCAGATATGAAGATTGTAACCTAGGACTTAGAGCACTTCATCAAATTCCAAAGTGGTCCAAAAGGAGGATAAAATTACTGCATCAGTTTCACAGATGAAAAATGGAGGTACAGAAAGAGAAATTTTTTTTCATGCAGGCACTGAGCAGGCTAGCAAGCAAAGTCAGAAAACAAAACTTAAGTCTTGTTTAACATTCTGGACACCAATCCACATTGTCTAATCTGGGTCATCTTTTTCCTTGACAGGGTTACTGCAAATTGAGTTGAAGACAAGGAAAACTTGCTTTTGGCGTCATCAGAAGGGAAAACCAGATACATACCTTTCCACAATAGAAGCAATTTATTATTTCCTTGTGGACTATCATCAGGAGATTTTGAAAGAGAGCTACAAAGGACAATATGATAATCTGCTCTTTTTCTTTTCATTTATGTACACATTGATTAAAGATGCCAAGTGTTGTGTGGGAAAAGAGTAAGCTTTCTGTCTGTTGGTGCATGACACTACTTTTTTTTTTTGTAATAATAAACTTCACAAACATAACTGGGATTTTTTTTGGAAACAGACTGTACCCTAAATAAATGTCCAGAAGTGAGCTGCAGACCTCATCCTGCATGCTTGAGATTGTAGAACTGCTCAGATGAGCAGTCTGATTAGAGATACTTATTTGAAAACAGTTACATTTTGCTAAATATTGCTGTACTTCAACCTACAGGCCTGATGTGCTCACTGTGATGAGATTTCCTGAGATGGGAGTGGAGGACTTGACCCCTCTTGCCATAAGAAGTGATCTCTTAACTGTAAGAAGGAATTAGCATGCTGGCTTTTCTTGTTACTAATACTTACATCAGATGTTTTCTTTGTGGTTTACACAGCAATACTGATTTCACTTTCATGGCATCAAAGGCTTACTGAAATGAGCAGATGGTGTTTAGTTGCTGAGGAGAGTGGCAGCAATACAGAATGAAAGAGCACATTAATTAAATATGAATTATATACCTTCAAGATTAATTCTGGAAAATTATTCTAGTAATAAAAAAGTGGCCTCTTTAAACACTGTTATACAGCGTATTATTCCTATAGTACCATTCATGTACTTTTATATTAGGATTATTCTCAACTTCTTGGGTATGTTTAGACTAATTCAAACGAACTTAATTAAGTGTTTATTACTGTTATATAATATCATTATTTGGGGGAGCACTAACCTAACAAATGTCACTATGGCATATTGTAGATAACAAAAATAAAAGATGGTGGTTCTGACCACAACATTTTTGACAAGGCTTCCTTATATTAGGCAGGCTGTGAATCTGCTCGTTTTTCCTTTTGCAGTAAAGGGGCAGTTTAGACCAGTATAAGTGTTTGTGCTGATGGGAGTTTTGTCATAGGTGTAGCACTGCTGTCAGAGTCACCATGTTTGAATGTAGTTTTGCCAAGCTATACCAGCTACACCAGCCAGTGCTGGCAGAGGTAATAGACCTGAGCTACAACTTTAGAGCAGAGTTATATGAATATATTTCATATAATACATTAATAAAACTTATATTCCTAAGGTAGAAAAAATGTTTAATTTGAGGTACAATATAAGATGGATAAATATTTCTGAATATTCTCAGAAATGTCTCAGAAAAAAATACATTTTTTCAAAGCGACAGACTGAAAAATTGCAATAGATTATTTTTTAAGTAAAACATCCCAGTTTTTGTTATCACTTGTAGCATACTCTTTAGGAGGGTACTCACACACCCTGGTGTGTGAAACAGCATCTTGGAAAATACTTCAAGAAAATGGTTTTATGCTTACACAGCAATCCATCCAGGCTCAAACAGCCGGTTTGTATACTGCATTTTTAATGCTTCAAGATACTGAAATCTTAATATTGCTTCAAACACAAGATACAAATATACTCTCTTACATCATACTTCATATTTGAATGCTTATCTGCACAAGTGCATATAAAAGTGCATTTCAGTGGACAACAAAAATATATCCCCATTTGCAGAACAAAATGCTGATTATGTTATGTGAGTGCACATGAAATGTGCATGAACTATAACAGCACCACAGGAAACACAGGCTTGAAGTCAGAATGAGAGATAATTTTTCTGTCTACCTACATATTGAGTTCATGTGCCAAGCAGTGAGAAAAATCAGCAGTCATGTCTCAATGCTATTGAAACAACACTGCCTATTCCTTTGGTTCTTATTGTTATTGAGAGGTTATTTTGACTTTTTAAAATTATTAATGTTATTTCCTTTGGTATGAATTTTGATAGTCTTTTGACATTTCCATCTGTTCTGGTATTTCCTAAACAATGATTTTTGTAATTATTTTTTTTAAATCACACAAGTATAATATCTTGAGAAGGAAACTTTCACCCACTTTAAACAAACAAAAATAAAATGAACCCACTGACCTAATGTTTTACAAGAACCAGAGAGAAAAATCTGGGGGGAGAGGAGAAGTTACTTCCAAGACACATTTCCCTGAAAACATGTTTTTTATTTAAGAAGCAGAGGTCAGATAAAAGCTTGTATAAGCTGTTCTTTGTTACTTTTGGAAAATAGTTTCATAAGGTGAAAAATTGTTTCCAAATTTAAGTTTTGTATTCCTTACTTTATTTGAACAATGGGAATTAAGAACTTTTTCCAAAAGAAAGTTAGTTTTAACTCTAAGATGAAATTAATGTACAGAAAGGATTTTAAATCTGGCACACTGTGTCCAGGAATTGGGTTCAGATTCTTTTTCTTCCAGTGCAACCTCAGTGTAATGCAAGAGTAATTTGTTATACCAAGGGACAGAGGCACACCTAATATCTGTAATTGGTTATGGTCTGTTGCAATTCCTCTGATAACCTTTTATGGGGGCAGGAAGGAGGTTGTCACTTCTGCTGCAAATCTGTCCTGTCTGAGCAGGAGATGTAGTTGCCCCTTCTCTAATATATATAAAAATATTTACATCCTCTATTTAATTTTTATATTGGTATAAGCCAAACAAAGTCATCCATCTCACACTGAAAGCATCTCAGTACCACTGATACATTTCCCCAGCTTTGAGACTGAAGAAAAATTTTGTTCCACTAAATGAAAGCAATCAAGTGGTTAATCCTTTCAAGTGCAATTAGCAGCACTGACCTCCCTGTTCTTTAAATTGAGGGTCATGGGGAGGTAAAGGCCAGTTCTGGGCCTTTTCTTTCATATCAGAATTCTCCTTCACTATCTCTTCTGTTTCCAAAAACATCAGAGACCAAGAGGGAAAAACAGGCTTCTGCTTCCATTAGCAGTAACTTAAACAGCCATAAGTTAAAGGGGGAGGAAAAGGAAGAGCATCTCTATCTCCTCTCACAATAGAAGACATCTGGCCTCCCGTGGGGAGGCCCCAGATAACAAAGAACCTGTCAGTGCAAACCTCCACGATGTGTTCAGAGAACCATTTTACCTGCAGTCTGGCTCATTCATTTCCTGCCACTGAAGCCATCTGCTTTTGCTTATTGTGGGTATTTTTGTTCTTTGTTTGGCCAGGAGCATGAAGAGGCTTCACTTTAGCATGCCTGTAAGCTTGGTCAGAGGGAGTATATAATCCTTTTCTCAAAATGAATAAGAGGGAGCTGCTGCAAAAAATAATTCCTTTCCTGGAAGGCAGCAGAAATGTCATCCAAGCCAAGGTTGAATAAAGGGTCATGTCAGTGCATGGGGTAAAGATACATTGATATTGAAAAGAGATGCCAACTTGGAATCTACAGCACAACCTCCCAAAGCACTTGTAATATTACCTGATTTAATTCCTTTGCTACTGCTTCTTGCAATTTTTGAGTCCATCTGGTTTTCCACATAGTCTTCAGGTCCAACTGCAAAGTAACACAAGGATCTGTTCTTACCTTTCCTTCTCACTGTGTTTCAGTACTTTGCCTGAATGTGTTAAAAATCAGTCTACATAAGTGATGGTTATAGCATACTTCTATAAAATGTAATATGATATGAAAATCCATCCTACCTCTACCTTCAAAAGTGCCAAGAGAAGGAGGGAGGAAGGGAAACTTCCTATTAATTTCCTATCATTTACTATAATGCAGTTAATACACTCCCAGGTGCCATTAACTCATGTCTCAGAGTATTCTGGGACACAAAAGTTAATGGATTGCAGCACAATTACACCAGGAAAGCTTTCCCACCAAGATCAAAATATGTGGCAGTTAAACTCCTGATCTACTGATAGCAGAATATGAGGTCACCTACTAGGTACTGAAGAACTCAACATAGTTCCTAAACTGTTATTCCTTGACTTGAGGGTCACCATTTTAGTAAAATCCCAATGCTGTCATTAAGAATGTTAATTGTGACTGATCAAACTTAGTAATATCAACATTTAAAGGAAGTGTTTATATGAAAAATCTTATCACATTCTTCCTGTTGGCCTGTTGGGAAAGATAACACATATCTGCCATTTTATGTATTCAGAAGAGAAATGAGATGCTGTCAAATTTTGATAGTATATCATATTAAAGTAAAATTACTCATAGTGGTGTGATTTCTTCACCCTATCTGCCAGAAATAAATTCAAATAATTCTGAAGTTTCAGAGTAAGAGATGGGAACTAGTTCTCTAATGCAAAACAGACAGCAGACTGTATTTTCACCTCATGGAAAGTGGAAATTTTTGTCTAACTTTAGCAATGCTGGTGCGGTTGCCACATGATTTTACTGCTGACTTCTCAGACCACTGATGTTGCAATAGGATGTTTAGAAACGTACCACAGAAGAGTGAACAGAAGAGAATGTGCTCCACCAACATACCCCAGACTGAGTCTGGCTCCTTCTCTGATCCTGTGCACTGTGATTCCCTTACCTGTAAAAGTAATTTCTGCCTCTGAATAAAAATGTCTATCTGTGAAGCTGGGCTCATAAGCCAGTTTAACTGGCATGAAATCTAAAAGCTTTAGTACAATTTCTGAAATTATTTGCTTTGGAGATGGATACTAATAATAGAAGAGAATCAAACTCCTTTAAATTTAAGAAAGCATCCTTTTGTCCTTTCTACAGAAGACCAACACTTTGTGTTCCAGCAAAAGAAGTTTGCTCAAGCTGAAACTCAGCCTTCATTTCATTTCCTAATGTTAAATAAAAATTCTGTATTAAAAGAATATCGTAATGTTTTATTTCTTTCAAAAATTATTTTTGAGGTTTCGGTTTCATGACTAAATTGCTTGCCAAATGCAGCATGAATTTCAGCTGACCTGAAACTGCATTTTCTAGTGATTAGTCTATGCAGCTGAAACATGCAGTATCGTTTTTCTGTTCACAGCTTTCTTTGGGCAGAATCAATGCTACAGTCCTTTTTTCATGTTTACAGCAGAAAAAGAAGGAACTTGGTACAGCTTCAATTGTCAGAAGTGTCACGTAGCACACCTCAGTCTACTTGAAGCAGTTGGATGACGTTACTTTGTCTTTTAACCTCACACGCATCTGAGTGTGGTTACAATATTGGCTTTGATCTCTATACCTGTTTTCAATACCTTAATTCTTGGTTAAGAATACAAAAGTGCTTGCACTTTATTCTATCATGACTGTGTTGGCAAAAAAATATAACAAAGAAACCTTTACATCATCAAAAGCATCCTCTTTTCTTTGAATATGGCTTACTTTTTCTGGGAATCTGGTTTAAAATCCATCCTGAAGCAGCTGCCAGGGAATTGGCCAACAAAGTTATAGCGTCAACCTCTTGAATGCAGAATGCTCTCTAAGGTAGGCATGGTTGAGTTGATTTTCCTCATTCAAAAAGAATTCATTGAAAAAATAATGAAGTAAGAAACAAACAAAAAAAAAGCTTGAATTTTTTGAAGCCCATGAAAACGAACACAGTAGATTCAAGCAATCACTGTAACATGCAATATTTCAGCTGTTCCAACATACGGATGGTCTGATGGCAATGGTCAGGATTTGGTTTTCTAGGCCTCTGCAAAGTTCTGCCCTCTCGATATAGGCAGTGGTCATTTTCAGCTAAACATGTGCCTGTTTATTCATCTTTGAGGCAATGATTTAGAAAAGACATTTCTTGTTTATATATGTTGGCACTTTTCTTGTAAGAAATTAATATATCAT